TAGCCAGGTGTTGTGGCAGGCGCCGGTACTCCCAGCTACTTGGGAGGCTAAGGCAAGAGAATAACTTAAGCCCAAGAGTTTGAGGTTGCTGTGAGCTGTGACACCACAGCACTCTACTGAGGGTGACATAGTGAAACTCTGTCTCAAAAGTAAAAAAGTGCTACTTATCTCTATTTCAGTATGATGGTGGGCACCTTTAATCCCAGCTACGGGGGCAGCACCTGTGGCTCAAGGAGTAGGGTGCCCACCCCATATGCTGGAGGTGGCAGGTTCAAATCCAGCCCCAGCCAAAAACTGCAAATAATAATAATAATAATAATATTCCCAGCTACCTGGGAGGCTGGGGCAAGAGGATTGCTTGAACCCAGGAGTTTGAGGTTGCTATGAGCTAGGCTGATGCCACAGCACTCTAGCCTGGGTGACAGAGTGAGACGCTATCTCAAAGAAAAAAAGGGAAACTGGGTGCAGTAGCTCATACTTGTAATCCTAACCCTCTGGGAGGCTGAGGCAGGTGTATTGCCTGAGCTCAGGAGTTCGAGACTAGCTTGAGCAAGAATGAGACCCCATTTCTAAAAATAGCCAGGTATTGTGGCAGGTCCCTGTAGTCCCAGCTACTTAGGAGACTGAGGTAAGAGGATCACTCGAGCCCAAGAGTTTGAGGTTGCTGTGAGTTATGATGCCAGGGCATTCCACCTAGAATGACAGAGTGAGACTCTGTCTAAAAACAAACAAAACCCCACAGGAAGCTCTCTATGTAGCGATATGAAAAAGTCATCAGAATATATTCAATGATAAAAGCAAAGTGTCAAACAGGTAGTACATGGTTTGTTATTATTTGTTTAAAGTATGTGTTTGTGAAATTCCTTGCCTATGTATAAAAAACTCTGCAGGAATATGTCAGAATTCCGGTGGGGAGGAGAGTGGGACAGCTGGTGACGGGGTGGAAGAGAAGTTAACTTTTCGCTGGAAACTTTTTTTATACTTTTTCACATTTATACAATATAAATATATTTTCCTGTTCAAAATAAACACAATGGAGAGCTTTAAAACACTAAGGGCTAAGAAAGACGTTGCTGCAGGCCTGACCTACACCGGAAGCTGCCAGCAGGGGATCTGCTTTGTCCACTTTGACCCTCACACTGTAAAGAAACTGACCACCCAGGAGGCAAAGTGACTTGCCTCAGGTCACACTACAGTAATCTGAGGTGTCACCAGAAGATTAAGTCTGACTCCAGAGCCCCCCATCCTCCCCCACCTCATAAGTCCACTCCCATTTGTGGAAAGAAGTAGGGGGAGAGGAATCAACTGGCACAGAAAGTGGGAGCTGCTCTAACAAATCGCTGCAAAGTTAGTGGCTTAAAATAATAAAATTTTACAGTTCTGGAGCCTACAAGTCCAAAATCAGCTTTACTGGGCTAAAGTGAAGGTGTTGGCCAAGCTGGCTCCTTCTGGAGGTGCCGAGGGAAGAACTCGTGTTCTTGCCTTTCTCAGTGTCTGGTGACCACCTGTATTCCTTCACTTGTGGCCTCTCCCTCCCTCATCACAGCACACCCCTCCAGTTATCCTTCTTCATCACATCAACAGTTCTGTGACCAACTCCTCTGCAATCGCCTTAGATAACCCAGGATAATCTCCCCGTCTCCAGATCCATGACTTAATCACATTTGCAAAGTCTCTTTGGCCACGTTAGGTAACATATTCACAGGCTCTAGGGGTCTTTAGAGTCTTTGGGGCCATTATTCAGCCTATTGTCCACAAATGCCAGGACATGTCTGACAGGTATATCAGAGTGAGGTATTCAGGAGGTGGGGTGCAAAAAAGGGAGCCAGGTGTGATCCAGGTGGCAGGGAGTAGGCAGCAGTGAGATGAAGCAGAAAATACGGGTTCAGATGAGAATCTGCTGTGCCTCCTGCTCCCTTTCCAACCCCTGTCCCCAGGGCACAGGCCACCCAACATTCACCAGCAGGAATACAAGAACAGAAGGGTGGTTCCCTAAAGAGATTCAACTGTCTGACAGCTGGAGGTGGGAACTAGGGCAGATGCTGGCATCGAAATGAAGGGGGGAAAAAAAAAAAGAAGCCAGTCCTATCCTGCCACTTGTGGCAGAAGAGAGGGATAGAAGAAGAGGGACTCTAGACTTTTCCACACCCACAAGTCAGACCAGCTGCTGGCAAGCCTCTCCTCCAGGACACAAAGCTCCTATTCATGCTCCTGGGCAGGCCAAAGCTGGCAGGAACCAGGAAGCAAATCCCCTTGCCTATAGACACAAGCCTTGTCCCCTCTCATTTGAGACTGTCCAGGAACAAGCAAGGAACAAATAGGAAGAAAAATACCAACACCAAGATAGCCCAGTTCAATGGCTAATTCAGGATCCAAGCAAAGAGCAATAACTTTATTGGCTTGTTTACATCTCTTGATCTCTTCTTGGTTATTTACACATTGACTTTTTTTTTTTTTTTTTTTTGACAGTGTTGGCTGGGCCAGGCTCAAACTCGCCAATCCTAGTATATGTGGCCAGCACCCTGCTCCTTGAGCCACAGGCGCTGCCCTATACATTGACTTTTATTTAAGAGTCCTGCCCCATTATCTTGAGGATGTCCTCCACTCTCAAAGCCTGGTGCTTTCCTCATTATTAAATTTAGGTTCCACACTTGCTGTTGTTTTTTGTTTTGCAGTTTGGGGCCGGGACTGGGTTTGAATCCCCCACCTCTGGCATATGGGGCCAGCACCCTACTCCTTTGAGCCACAGGTGCCACACACTGTTGTTGTTGTTGTTTAACAAGAATTCTGCATAAGCTCAGTGCCCGTAGCACAGTGGTTATGGTGCCAGCCACATACACTGAAGGTGGCGGGTTCTAACCCAGCCCCGGTCAGCTAAACAACTACAACAAAATAGCTGGGCTTTAGGGTGGGCGCCTGTAGTCCCAGCTGCTTGGGAGGCTGAGGCAAGACAATCTCTTAAGCCCAAGAGTTTGAGGTTGCTGTGAGCTGTGATGTCACAGCACTCTTCCAAGGGTGACACAGTGAGACTCTGTCTCAAAAAACAAAAACAAAAACAAAAACAAAACTCCTGCATAGGCAGTTTTATATCACATCAGGAGACATCTGACTTCAGGATGTCCCATCATGGGGACATATTGTTCAATTATTTGCTTCAGAGGGTGTGTTCCAGGCCTTCCTCAATGCCACTGCATAGATACATTCTTTCCCCATAAGAAATGAGTCATCTGTTGGGTGATAATTCGGCCTTTTTCCCAACAACCTTTTACCAATGGTTTTCACATCCCTTGGTGATCCAATTATTTTACTGGAGACTCCCTGTGTTTTCTCTAAATTTAACTGTAATAAACAAGTATTATCTGTAGACATAGTTAGTGCCGACAAAAGTATGTAGTCTATGCAGTCGGCATCTGCTTCACAGCAGGTGCTTAATAACGACATCAATTTTTAAAAATCTTCCCAGTGCCAGGGCTAAAATCTCTTACCTGCAAACCTAGTTCGCTCATAAATTAGGTCCCCAAACTCTTCACGCAGCGAGGGCTGCCTACATCAACAGGCTATTTATAACCTCCGTCCACTAAGTGTGTATTCCTCCCCGCACGCGCTTTGAAGCAGGACTATCACGTGATCTTGGAGTCCTGCCCTGCTGGGGAACGCCGAACACGTGTGTGGTATCTGCATTTTAGTATTCAAAAACCCAAAAAGGCGAGATCCAAAACATGTCTAGTCCGAAATCATCCAGATAAGGAATTATGGTGTGTCGCTCTGTCCTAAAAACTCTACCAATAATATAATTTTACAACTCCAGCGGAAAACTCTTCAGAGGTATCATTACCCGGCTTACTGAGAGTCGGACGCTCTGCTCTGCGCCACACGCGCAGGTTCTTACGCCAGCCTCACGATGGCGCTGTGGGGCCTGGCTGAGGTTTCTAGGGACAGGGGCCTGGGGAATCCAGGCTCAAACCCTCTCTTGCTGGACGCGACCCCCAAGCTAGCGACTTGGACTTTGGGCATAGACTATGTATCGTTGGGCTTCAGTTTCTCAGGCGAGGCACCATTGGATCATAAGTATACAGCACTTAGCAGGGAGGCAGATAGGAGCAAGTTGGACTAATGTAATGGTTTACAAAAGTGTGGGAGGCCTGGTGTTCAGATTGGCTTTCAGGTGGCTGAGGTCAGTCACCTTGCGATCTCTGGGACGATCTTGGGCAATCAGAAGGAACTGCGAAGGCCCAAGGGCAGAGATAAAGGGAGAAAAATGGGTCATGGGCCTGTCCTTACTGATACTGAAATTCCGGATTAATATAGTTGTCTACAGCTGAGCGGCTCGGGGATGGGAGCTGGCTCCTAAAGTAGGAGTGTTTAGGTTTGTTATTGCGGCGGGAAAGTATGTGTGGCAGAGGGGTTCCGTTTAAAAACTGGCGTGGGCTTCTGAGAATCTAATCCCTGGGACATAACGTAAATTGGAGAAAATCCCTGCGGATAGGAGCTTTTATCCAAGTGTTTCAAGTCAGGTCCAAGGTCAGGGTCACAGCTTAAACCATTTACTAGCTTGCAGTGGACCGGTGCCTGATCCGATAGATATTATGAATGGTGGCGAGAGCTTTAGGCAGAGGCCGGAATGAAAAGAAAACAGGATATGGGTGAGGGTAGAGGTGGGAGGCTAGGACCACTCCCAAGGCGGATGCCGGAGCGGGGGGGGGGGGATCTCAGATCACTGGTGACCACATGGAGAAAGTAAGGGACCTCCCGGGAGTGGAGGGGGCCCAGATCTGGGAGTGATGGGGCTGGCTCCTCTCCTGCCCGGCTCGCGGCAGCGGTGCCTCCCCTGCTCCGCCCGCAGCCCTCCCAGATCCCGGCCCCGCCCTGGCTCCGGCGCGCCACCGCGGCCGGGAGGAGGGGCAGCCTTCCCCGCCCGCCCTTGGGCCGGATCTCAGACCCCCAGCGCCGGCCTTCGGCTACCACGCCCCTCCCCGGAAGAGGCCAGACTACCTCGACGGCCGGTCCTGGGGCTCCCTGGGCCGGGCCGATCCCGGGGAGCCCCTCGACTGGCTCCAAGAGTGAAGCCGGAAAGGAGATCTTAGCCCGCCGCCGCCTCCGAGCAGGCCACCGGGCGAGCGCCGGGACAGGTAGGGACCCAGATCCGGACCGAAGTATCGCGTGCTCATCCACAGCTGGGGCGTCGGAGGAAGTATTCCTGGTACGGGATCTGCCCGGAGGGGCCGGTCCGCGGGAGTCCCTTCAGCCCATCGTCCTTTACCCGGTCCTCCCTTGGCTCCAGCCTCCTTTACACCCAGAGTTATACAAACACATGTTAGGAAGCCCCAGATCGTCCAAAAGGGCTTTGCTTTGAAAACGAGTCTTCTAACGCCCGCTCCTTTGGTCCGCAGAGGCCACCATTAAATGCCTCTTCAAAATGTTCCAGACCAACACGTGTGCACTGCGGCCCGCGAAAGGCCAGACCGCTGCTTACAGTTGCTGAGTTTATTTCTTCTGGCTGGCAGGTCCCTTCGCAAAGTCTGTGAATCGGAGCCCTTAGAGGACCGTTTCTTGTTTTAGCAACTTGGGCACATAATGTGTTTAGCTGTGGCCGCGCCTCTCAATTTAAATTTTGTTGTTCTAAGTTATTTTTGCAACGTTCAGTAATATTTTTTAAAGCTCTATATATCTTGTTCCTTCAACTTTAGATAGACAGCATCTATGTACTCCATATTTTGAAAGACAGAAATATTTCAAATCTGATTTTAAAATAAAGATAATGTTTTAAATGTTACAGTAATATACAAGAATGAGACAATTAGAAAATACAGAGCTTTGCGTCAAAAACAAGTTCTATAAACAACAGCTGCCCCCTCATGCCTTCCCCACACGCACAGCCTGTTAAAATTTATTGTCACTGTTCCTTAAGCTTTTGGAAGTTTAAAAAAAAATTTTTATTGTCAGTACATTACTTTTTCTTTTATTTGAGAAGAGGTCTTACAGTGTTGCCCAGGCTGGTCTAGAACTCTGGCCTCAAGGAATCCTCCTGAACTCAGCCTTCCAAAGTGCTGGGGTTACAGGCCTGAGCCACCATGCCCAGCCTTAAATTACTTTTCAAAAATGGCAAAATTAACTTGTGGTTGCTGGCACATCTTTTTTACCTTTTCCCGCTTTTTATTCTTTCGGTATTTACTTACAAATCTTTAAAGAAAATTTTTGGATTGTTATTCCTTAAATTTTGCCAACTTTTAGACAATCTGAGCTCAAATCCTTTTCTAAAAATAGGAGACAGTGGCTGGGCACACTGGCTCCTGCCTGTAATCCTAGCACTCTGGGAAGATGTGGTGGGTAGATGGCCTGAGCTAAGGAGTTTGATACCAGCTGAAGCTACAGCGAGACCCTATCTCTAAAAATAGCCTTGTCATTAAGGCAGAGGCATGGCTCAGGCCTGTAATCCTAGCACTCTGGGAGGCCAAGGCAGATGGATTGCCAGAGATCACTGGTTCAAGACCAATCTGAGCCAGAGTGAGACCCCACCTCTAAAAAATAGTCAAGCATTGTGGCAGGCACCTGTAATCCCAGCCACTTGGGAGGCTGAGGCAAGAGAATCTCTTGAGCCCCAGAGATTGAGGTTGCTGTGAGCTGTGATGCTACAGCACTCTAACGAGGGCAACAAAGTAATACTCTTGTCTAAAAAAAAAAAAAAAAGAAATAGTTATTTTTAGCATCTCCACAATTTTTGTCCTCCCTATAGAATCACCTCCCTAATGACAACATTACTTTTCTTTTAACTTTTATTTTATTTTATTTATTTATTTATTTTTCAGGCAGAGTCTCACTCTGTCAACCATGGCTTCATAGCTCACAGTAACCTCAAACTCTTGGGCTCAAGGGATCCTTCCGCTTCAACCTTCTTGAGTAGATGGGGCCATCCTTTCCCCAACCCCCTGTGCTAGCTAAACTTGTATTATTTGTTGGGTCAAGTATACACAGTGTCTGTTGACTCCCCCATTTGTAAGGCCTGGCTAAGGAGCCTGCTTATAAAGATGTATTTGAAAAATATATATCATGTGAAATGAATCACATCTGTAATCCCAGCACTTTGGGAAGTGAAGGTGGGATGATCCCTTGAGCCCAGAAGTTCTAGGCTACAGTGAACTATGATCTGCCTACTGCTCTCCAGCCTTGGTGGCAGAGGGAGACCCTATCTCTTAAGTAAATTAAAAAATAAAATAATTTTTCATATTTATTTAAACATTTTATCCAACCAGTTTATACATATGGTTTACAAATCAAGTAGAAAAGAGTCTATTTAATTTTTTTTCTCTAATAAAAGTAATACAATGTCTTTAAGAAAAATGGAGAAGGCAGTCAGTGTTTTAGATTAAAGAGATAGAGACCTGACCAGCCCTAACAGTGTTTGAACCCCTATAAGGACTTTCTTAAGAAGAAAAAGCCACAGAAAACCTTCTGGGACAATGTGGGAATTTTTTTTTTTTTTGAAACAGAGTCTCACTGTGTTGCCCTCAGTAGAGTGCTATGGGGTTAGAGCTCACAGCAACCTCAAACTCTTGGGCTTAAGCTATTCTCTTGCCTCAGCCTCCCAAGTAGCTGGCACTACAGGCACCCGCTATTAACCTATTATAAACCTATTTTTTGTTGTTGTTCTTGTAGTTGACATTGTTGTTTGGCAGGCCAGGGCTGGGTTCAAACCCACCAGCTCTGGTGTATGTGGCTGGTGCTCTAGTGCTTGAGTCAATATGGGAAATTTTTCATGGAGAGAGTATTAGATGCAGAATGGATTTCTCTTGGTGTTGAGTGGGACCAGCTTGTATATTTAACAGATGCCCTTATTATTTTTTTCTTTTCTTTTCTTTTTTTTTTTTTAGACAGAGTCCTGCTCTGTCCCTCCTGGTAGGATGCTGTGGTGTCATAGCTCACAGCAACCTCAAACTCCTGGGTTCAAGCAATCCTCTTAAGCCTCCCAAATAGTTGGGACTACAGGTACCTGCCACAAAACCCAGCTGGTTTTTCTGTTTTTAGTAGAGATGGTGTCTCACTCTTGCTCAGGCTGGTCTAGAACTCCTGAGCTCAGGCAATCCACCTACCTTGGCCTCCCAGAGTGCTAGGATTACACATGCAAGCCACCACACCCACCCCTTATTCTTTCTTACAAAGTGTGCATCAAAGACAGAAAAAAGGCAGATATAGCAAAATGGGGACCATTACAGACATGTTCACTTAACTGTTCTTTCAACTTTTCTGTATGAGATTTTTATAGTAAAAATTGGGAGAAAATAAAATAAAATGATATCAAATGAAGAAAGAGATGTGCACAGTGGCACAAATTCTTGAGTCTTCTACGCTAGGATCCAAATCCTGGCAGCTAAACAAAAAAGAGAGGCATTGTTTGGACTGAGCTTCTATGCTGGGCCCCAGACAACCAGACCAAACCAAAATGGAGTCACTCATAGTAAATGCCACATTATCCAATGGAAACTTTAAAGAAGCACCCAGATTCTGAAAGAGACCAATTTTTCCTGAAAACAGAGACTCCAGTGTATCTGAGTCAGCATAAGAAAGAAATCCCCTCTCCTTTAACTCTTATCAAAAAGCAAACTGAAGTAACCTGATGTCAGCCAGTCAGCTTTTTTTCTATTTTGCTATTTGTTCCCACCTCACAAAACTCATTTTCCTGCCATTGCCCAGTGGAAGCTCTCATTCTGTTTTGTAGCATGGAGGCTGCCCCATTTACAAATCTTTTTTTTTTTTTTTTTT